CACACAGACAACCTCTCGTCAATATGCGTTTTTCGCATTGCATTGCTGCAAAAAACGCACAAAAAAACCACGGTAGCTATGCAGCAAGTCTGCTGCATAGCTATCTTGGTTTTTTTCTTATGAGCGATGCACCGGGTGTAAGCAACTTGGTTTTACTACTACTCGTTCAGAAGTCAATAAATCTTTTTTGCTATAAATGATTTTCCTCATTTTACGAAGTGTTATAGAAAATTGTTCACCACTGCAAAAGAACAATGGATAAGAGTGTTAAAAATTTAGCAGTTCTGTATTTTGATTTTTAGTTTGCTGATGGCAAAAAGCGCACTGCTACTGCCCTTATTTGCTTGGCAGTGGTATCACTGGTCGGCGCTATTGGTGGCATGGTTTGTGTTGTGCTTCGAAGTCAAAGTGAATTTTGAAAAGCTTTTTCTGAATTTTTTCTACTTGACAGCTTTGCATCTGTTTTCTTTCATTTTCTGTACAGCTGCTTGTTCAGTGAGTTAACGCCAAATGTTGATCTCTTCAGAATGCAAAACAGCACTAGTTTACTATCAGAACAAATCAGTGAGTGCAGAAGGAATGATCTTAACATTAGCAAAATCAAATCAACAATGGTCATCATCCATCAGTAGACCCAGCTTACCAGCGTTAACGAATAAAATGCATGTGTGCAAAAACGCATGGTATGCATCAGAATAAAAGGCATATGGGCCCTACTACCTCGCATGTTCTTCAACTTAGCCTACGGCGGTGGATCCATAAATTTAAAGCTGTCTAATTAAAACCTCAAGTGACCAGATGCTGAAGCGTACCTTCCTTAATGCATGAAGTGACATTAAAGAGGCCGTCAGACCTAAAACAGTCATTCGATTTAACCCCAGTGCGACGCATTATACTTGCAAGTGCGCCGTGCGTTCTTTTAATGATTTCATCCTGTAGAGGGATAGCATGTACTGAGCTGCGACTGCGATGTTGCAATGTGAACATTTCATGCGTCTCTAAGTAGGATTCATGGCTAAGCAGAAGCTCATCATACGCTTGCTGGTCCGCACATGAACAGCAAACATCGCCAGAAAAAGACTGCTTCTGTCCAGACTGGTTGTTGATTTATTTGGTGCAGCAGTGTCCTGAAACAAATATTCACTTCACGCAAGGGAGGCATGGTTTAAAGCTTATTTTGAAATATTTAGGCAAACATAGCATAGAATCACCTTATAAAGTTCCCTAGCACAACTAGCTAATGAAATTGCCTTTCGAAACAAATATCTTTGATATGTCCAAACGCCGACACAGGCGGGCGCCAAAGCTTATTTTACGCCTTCATGCCCATGCATGGGAACAAATATTCTCATGAAGTCAGGACACTCAAAACAGTCTGATTTTCCGGTTGACATTTGAAGACGTTGTACATCGATGAAACGCTGAACGAGAAGAAACAAAATACTGACTCTCACAAACAAAATCACAATCTTTTAAACACATTACCACGAGAGGAAAATCTAAAGAAAGTTTTAGGGAGATTCACCTGCCCACACACATACCGCTTGCTTCTTGACAATATGTTTTTGTTCTCTGTAGCAACGCTAGTGTTGTAAAAAGATCGCGTGTGAAGAAGACAAACGGCATTGGCTTGAAATAAGTAAACCACTACGTCGGTTTAGTTCAGAAAGCAAATATGTCTCACAATAAACAAACAGGAATTGTAAGTAAAAGGCCTATTCGTTAACGCAAATTTCATATCATCGTCGAGGTTCTTAAACTGCTTTCCCGTACGAATCATCGAAGCCACATTCCTGCTCTTGATATATGCATTTCCAAAGTATTAGAAAACAATATTTCAATTTACACGTTGAGCTGTTTGATTTTAAGTAAGATTTAATGAAAATCGAGTTCATTTTTACTTTCGGTTCACATCCCTGAAATAGGAATTAATTAAGCATGGCAATGCCACATATATGAGTGGGCTTATATTAGGTCTGTTAAAAATGTTGTGCTTTCAGGCTTGGGCGTTTTAACAGCAATTTATAATTTGACAACAGGCTTCGGAATAGTTGCAGCAGCTACCACATTCCTGTCAAAGAAGGACGCAGAACATTCCTTTAATTTTCTTGCTGCAGCTGCAGGTGTCGTTGCGATCATACAGGTGATTGCGAGAAAAAAAGACTATTTTGACTGAGAAAGGAATACTTTTTTGTTAGGATAATTTAAGGTGTAAATAACTTTTCTAGAAAGACAGCAAGAATTTTCCTGGATATGATGTGAAATTCTATCGCAAAAACTGTTTGTTTATTTATGTAAAACTAAAACAGTGCTTTCTTTCCATTTAACTTTTAATGGAAAATTGTTCAGCTTATTGCGTTTGGCATAATGCTCATCATCTACCGCAACTTCTTAAGTATTGCTCCCGACTATACAAGAGGTATGTTAATTTAAGCAGTTTTATTCGGTTGGAGGTAGCAACATAAAATTTCAGCTTCGCACAATTAAAATTTTGGTTTACTTAATGAGTAAACATTTTCCAGTCATTTTTCTTCAGAATTTTTTAAATTTATCGCCTTGGAGAAATTGTTTGTATTATTAGTAAGCCGGAATCCTGTATATCTTCTCTGAAGGCTGTAGTTTGTGTACTGTGCTAGATGAAGTAATCCAAAAAATATGTCAAATAGTCCGTGAAATTTTGGAATTACAGTTTAGAAACTGCGCCTACTAGGTCACACGCTAAGTATTCGTTGACACTGTAGGAAAAAATACGTTTTTTATTGATGGGAAAATGCTTAGCATATAGGGCGGTATAGAACAAACAAGTTCCTGGAAGTGAAAAGATGTGAGTGGGACTCACAGAAAGAATAAATATCAGACTTTTTTCGGAATTCTCTTCATTAAATCAAGTTCTTGGCAAATCAATATAAAGGAGTTTTAAAATAGAAGAGGCAATGCTCTTAAATCTAAGGATGACGAAAAGTTGAAACTCTCACAGCATTCGCTTTCTACGAAAAGTTAAGGCATCTGGATATACTTCTTGGGTAGTAGGTGCCTTGAGTAGCCATACATCTGACAAGACTTATAAGTAAGCACCCTCAAATGAGGAAGCCATTGATAGCTTTGACACAAATAGTGGAATTAAAAACTGCATGAAGAATCACAGTAAATTAAATTATTTGACCAACAAAGTAGTAACTTTTTCACCTTCATGCTATTCGCTTTAAAGATTTCCGAAGGCGAGAAGTGATAATTCCTGAAAGTATGAATTCCGAAGCACGCGCCAAAACTCAGCACGAAATTGCAGCAGAAAGAGACGCAGTTACTCGAAAATATCACTGGTGGGGAGCAGTTTCTAATGAAAAATCATCAATCAAAATACTTAAGGAACTCGGCTCAAATGTTTACACATTTGCAAAAAGACGCTTATGATTTCCAACTGCATGGCTTAGCTAATATTTCAGTATTTTACATTAAAATATCTTGTTTTATTTATCTTATTAACTATGTAAATGGCTTAATACGTTTTACAGGGAATAAAAATTTGCAGAGCAAAAGGTGAAAATGAGAAGAAAGACAGTGACGGGAAAGAAAGATTTGTGAAAAGCTTTTCAACTACAAAGCACTACGTAGCACCCCTGATTTGAAATTCCACTCTTTTCTCCAAATGCTGAGAGATTGAGAACAATATTTTAAGAAAAGCAGCATAATCCGTCTGTAGATAACCCAGCCGGCAGCAAATGATCAATGCAAGACGCCCGTACTTGTGGATAAGGCTAGGATTATGATCAAGAAAGAACTGTACTAACTGTACTGCCCAATAATTTTTTGGGCCCGGAAAATATTAATCCTATTCAGCAAGCAGTAGACAACACTTCGTCTTGCTCAGAATATTTTAACAAAAATGTGGTGAAGAGAAAATTTTCAGGTATCTGCAAAAATACCAGCAGACTCCAGGTAAGCGGATTTCTCAAAACTCGTATTTTTTAGAAAAAAAAAAAGGAAATTAACTGCAAAAAAATGCCTGCAAAATTGAACGAACTGCCACTCCAAGCTCGAATGTGACCGAAGCGCGCTCAAGCGGCGGAAGCTGTTGCCCACCTTTTTTGTTCTGAATCGTATATCTTCACTTCACAAGCTGAGTTTCTAGTAAACTCTCTTTAAAAAAATACACAGTTACAAGATCTGAAGCGAAAAACAATAAATTAGCATCGAATCCCATCTAAAAATTCTTACTGCTTCTCTTTCACCGGAGAGGGTTTCTTCTTTTTATGCTTTATTTGCAGCAATGCAATGCGAAAAACGCATATTGACGAGAGGTTGTCTGTGTGT